CCCCAAAACCCCAAAACCCCAAAACCCCTGAAATTAAGGATAGATAGTTTCGAGTTGTTTAGATAAAGTTGCAAAATACTTATAGAAGAAAATAAAATTCACATTAAAATTTATTTTTTAATTCAAGTATCTGATTCTACAAATGTCTCAGTCTGTCATTTAAGGAGAGTAAAAACGAGCCCTAATAGAGGAATCAAAGCTTAATAAGATTATCAATGATTCAAAGCAGAGGCGCAGTAGAGCCACTCGAGATCAACCTAGACAAGTAGAAAATTAATAGCAAGTAGTTTAGCAATAAAATAAGGTTTAAGCTGATAAAGCAAGAATGTTTAAGTCCCCTCCTCAGCAAATTAAAAAGTAGTAGCAAAAATAAGAACCTCAGCAAAATGAAGTTTAAGAAACAAGACTGAGAAAAAAGAGCAGTGAAAAGATTTAGACTACTAAATCTGAAGGTCGTGTCTCTCGTTAATCAGTAGAAGCTGGAATAAATCATTCCCAAATTCAACACTAAAGGCCAAATCAAATTCAGATAACAGATCATTAGTCTCAGCACAGTGTCTAAACTCCTTACAGTAATAATAGTCTCACACAAGTTGCCAAGCAAAATGACAAGAATTTTAACTCAACTGTGATTTCCTAGAATAGAGATAAAAGTTAGAAGCAACACTCTAAAAAGTAGAGTATTTCAGGAGCTATTGATTATATTGAAATGAATAAGCAGTTAATTGAACAATAAAGAAAAGCACCAGAGCCAGTTCCTCAAGCTCAAAGAATGAAGATTATGGATACAAGCTATGGTGATTTATATAAACAACAAGCCAAATCTAAGGTTAACACTAACCTCAGAAGCAAAAGTGTCTATGGTTAAAGAAAGAATAGAATTTCAGAGGCTCCATAACAAGCAAAATATAGACTTGACCTTTCACCTGAAGAACGTATTAAAGATGATTTACAGAGAAAGATAAATGACCAAGTAAAAGAAGGTATTAAAGATTTAGTTCAAAGCAGATATGCAGATCTAGAACGCATGCTTAATGAAAATATGGAAGCAGTCAATGCCCCTAGTGAGGTAAACAAGAACAGACCAATGACCCAAATGCATGATAATAACTAGAGTAATTACTAGCTTGAGGAGTAAAGTCAGATATTTAACTTGGAGCATGCTTAAGCGATAGATCAAGAACTTGACAATGAAGATAATTACAGAACTCAAGGCAGTATTCAGGCAAAACCTAATAAAATTGAAATAAAATCAAAGGCTGCAATGCAAAAAACTCCAACTCATGCTGTGAGGAAAAGAATACCAGTAAATTCATAGCTATAGGCCGATCTTTAGCAAATGAAAACTCCAAAATCAAGACCTAAGCCCGTCCTTTAATAAAAGAGAGTTTCTAATCCAACCACTGCTAATAAAGAAAAATCAACTGTGAAAAGAAATTAAGATCATCATCAGACTATTGTTGTTACTTAGTAGAGTTCCACAATTGAGAGCATTTAACCCTTAAATGTGACTAAGATTTAAAGAAAGAAGCCAGCAAAAGTTGAAAACTCCTATACACCTAATAAGATATCAGAAAAGATACCAGATTAAAAACCATAATAAAATACTTAGAAGAAGCCAACAGTAGTTCCAAGACTCAATTTGAACTAAGGTTCTAATACTAAATCTCAAAAGAGCCTAAATTCTAAATAAAATACTAAACCAAGCAAGTAAGAGGCAAAGACCTAGAATTAATCAGTGATTGACAGAGTTCACACAATTGAGGTATTTGAGAACACAAAGAATACAGAACCTGACTATAAAGAAGACTACATCCAGTTGAGAACAATATCAAGACCCACTCTAACTAGAGATTTTGATCTTAAAACTAAAGAAGACTACTTGAACTTCTCAATCGAAAAGATCTGGCAGGAAATGGAAGAGATTGGCAGAAATAAGCAAGCCTCAACTGAGTTTTTCAAGGAATTCTAAAACTAATACTATGATATCAAGCAGGCCAGCTTCTATGATTAAAATGAATGCTCTCCAACAAAGAGACTTATTTCAATGAAGAATGCTGTGACAAAGCATCACTAGATTCAATCAAAGAAAGGGATAAACGATGGTGAATATTCTCTTCAATACACTACCAGTCCAGAAAAATCCTATATTGTAAAGCCTAGCGCAGGTATAATTGACTATAACAATTTCAACCAAAAAAAGGCTCATAAGTTAGTGGAAAAAATTATAAATGGAAAAGTAGAGAGAATAGAGATCTAAGAGAAAGGAAGCCCAAAGAAGAGCAAAACTATAACTGAGAAATCACCTGTGAGGATAACTAAGGAGTTCTGCGCCAGACACAACATGATAGGCATTAGCCCAGACTCTAGTGTCATAGTTGAGGACAATATCACTAAAAACTAATACTCTATTAATAAAAGACCCTCAGATGTGTATCAGCAATAGGAAAATGATGATAGCAGCAGCTACGACAATATTTAAATTAAGCTTTAAACCAGAAATGATATTGATGATGATGATTACGGAGATAGTCAAATAATCAACATCAGCTAGAATGGAGGAAAGTAAATTCTTATCGAAGGAAGAAGATGAGTCAAGGAAGTCTTTAAAATAAATGTGCTTTTAATGCAGATTAAGTATTATTAATGCAGCTATTTTTTTATTGTTTTTATTATTAAATTTATTGCAATCTTAATATTCAAATGGATATTTCATCATGGGGTTTTGGGGTTTTGGGGTTTTGGGGTTTTGGGG